GGGAATGAGCTGAAATGGGGAAAACAAAGGGTACTAGGACAAGGGGCTTCCCCAGGGTAGGGAGAAGTAGGTGTCTGCAAATACCATGTGATTCCAGAAGCATCTAGACAGTCCCCCAAAATACTCCCCTTTCTTTGTTGTTGTTGTTTTGAGATGGAGTCTCGCTCTGCCACCCAGGCTAGAGTGTAATGATGCAGTCTTGGCTCACTGCAATCTCCACATGCCGGGTTCAAGTGATTCTCCTGCCTCAGCCTCACAAGTAGCTGGGATTACAGGCACCTGCCACCACACTCAGCTAATGTTTTTATTTTTAGTAGAGACAGGGTTTCACCATGTTGGCCAGGCTGATCTCGAACTCCTGACTTAGTAATCCACCTGCCTCGGCCTCCCAAAGTGCTGGGATTACAGGCATGAGCCACCACACCCAGCTGGTAGTTTTTATTTCAAACTACATATGAGATAGGAGACAATCTGTAAACTTTTTGGTGCTTGGGACCTCTAAGAGTGCTCATCCAGATCTAGGAGGCAGTAAAGGAGGATGAATTGAACTCTTGAGAACATGACCTTAGCTGAAGAGGGATTCGATGGTGATGTCTTGGGAGAGTTTTGAGCTGATATTGGGGCCTCTTGTGCAGAAAGAGTAAGAGGAACAGGGAGAACCTGCCCGTGTAGCCCTGCTTGGCACCACTGATAAGTTAAAGTTCTAAGAAGCAGATATCATCCCAGGGCCCTTGCTGCTACATAGGAGCCTCTTGTGTTAATTAGAAAAGCTGCCCCTTGGGAGGGCACAGGTGTCCCTTCCTTTGGGGACATCAGTGAATACAGCATGGGCTGGGCTTCAGCCTAGTGTCTGGGTGATCCTGCGCAAACATGGGACATGGGGCCCTGTCCTCAGCTTCTTCAGGTGGTGTCCCCTCCCTCAATTTGAAGATTCCACCCAACTTCCTGGGCCGACCAATGGGTTTGATTGATTGTTTCTACGTGCACACCTCGGTGGGGTGCAAAGGCCTCCCCATAATCCTTGGATGGTCCTTGGATGAGGCTCATTTTCCTTGGATGAGGCTCCTAGCACTCGTGCCTTTCAGCTCAGCATGCGCAGATGAGCAAGATATGAGTATAAAGGAGAGTGGGGTATAGTTTGGCTTCCCTTCAACTGACCTTCAGTCAAAGAGAGAAAAGGGGCAAGTACCTGAAAGCAAGGGATCAAATAGGGTGAGAACATTAAAGAGAAAAAGATATCTTGGCAACAAAGATAGGATGTGCACCAGATCCCAGTGCTCAAGTGAAATGTGCCAAGCACTCAAATATTAAATATAAGGTGACAATTATCATAAAATAGATATTACCAACATCGGATATAGAATCTCCTAATGTTACCATGACCATGATGGAATTCCGGCCTGAGAGCCGGCACATGCGGTCAGTACAGAACCCATCTGTGAAATGACCTCATGTCCTTCTGCTCCTGGACAGGCTGCCTGTAACTGTTTGCCAGCCTACACTGGAGACGGAAAGGTCTGCACGCTCATCAATGTCTGCTTAACTGTGAGTATGGCTCTAGGGCTGATGCCCTTCAAGCCTCAGAGCCTGGGGAGCCTCCCACTGAACTTCTAGGGGATGCAGAGTTGAGGAGATATTCCTCTGGAGGCCTCAGAGCTGTGTGTTGGCTGTGAGGCTCATTTCTCTGGCATGCTGCATTGCAGGAGAAAGCACGGTCTGTTGCCCCCAGCCTGCCCCTTTGGCTGCAGCATATGGAGCTAAGTCCATCCACTTGCTTATCCCCCATCCACATTGCCAACTCTTATAAAAAGATCCCTCTCCCCCTTTCCACCAAGCACATCTCTCACCTCTGAGGTGATGCTTAAAGCTCACCTCCTCCAGGGAGCCACCTTAGGTAAACCCCACAGCAACTTTCCACTCCTTATTCTCCTAGACTTACACGTAGGAATTCATGGTGAGTACACTACAAGTCAGCAATATAGTGTAGCATTCCAAAAGCTAGTTATGTTATCACAGAGGCCTAGAGCTCAGGCTAAGGAAGATGATTCTACTCCCACACCACAACCACCCTCCATGTCCCCTACCACCCCCATTCTACATGTTAACTCTACCTTAGGACAGAGGATCGGGTTCTAGATGCCCTGCATGGAGCAGGAGTTCATATGGGGGTAGAGGCACTGTGTCTCCCATGTCCAGGCACACATCATTAATTCTCACAGTTCTCTTTCTCTCTAAAGAGGAGTTGGGATGGGGTGTGGAGGCTGCCATCAACATTTCAAGAATTGCCACGTAACAGAAGGGTTGTTCTCGTTCTGTGTAAGTCCAAGCAGCAGGACTAGGACTACCTGATAGATGTTAGAAGAAAACAGATTTCTTTCAATTCAACTCAATTCTTTCATTAGAACTGTCCAGAGATAAGAGTTTTGAGAGGTAATGAGCTTATTATAACTCAAGGTATTTAACCACAGGAATAAAGCAACAGGTAGGTTATCAACCCAGACAGCCATTTAGATTCCTCCCAGCCCTGTTCCACAGGACTCTAGGGTTTTCGGCTGGTTTGCTTTTTGGGCTCTCAGTTTCTTTGGATGGTTGTAAATGTCCCTGGGGTTCCTTTTACCACTAACAGTCTGGGCTTTGCCTTTCTTCGTCCAGCCTGTAGGATATTGTTGATACACTTCCTGTCTCCGTTGGCAGGGACAGGATCTTCTGATTCTCTTATAACTCTTGACTGCAGACTGGACCCATGTTATGCAAACCCAGTGGGAATTTACTCAGCCATTAATCTCTGAGTCTCGAACTGGGCTAATCACCTACTGCTGCTCAGAGCCTAACTGTCCCAGGCCTGGCACCTCCAAAGGGGTGAGACAAGCCTGCTGACCCAGGATGTCACATCTGGAGCACTTAGTGTGGTCAGCTAGGCCTCTGAAACGCTGATTCAACATCACATTCATATCCACTGCTTACCAGGGGTCAGCCACCGTGCTTAGGGGTCATCCTTTAGTTTAATTTCTCTAGCAGCAATATATGGTAAGGACGGTTATGAAGCCCATTTTACAGACAAAGAGACTCCAGCTGTGCCTCTTTCCTAGGACTGCTATAACAAACGGCCACAAACTGGGTGGGTGGAAACAAGAAAGAGGTATTTTCTCACAGTTTTAGAGGACCAAACCCAGAATGAAGGTGCCTGCAAGGACGTGCTCCTCTGAACTCCATGGGAGAATCCTTCCTTGCTTCTTCCAACTTCCAGTGACTCCAGGCACTCCTGGCCAGTGGCCGCACCACTCTAATCTCTGCCTCCGTCTTCACGTGGCCTTCACGTCCACATCTCTGTCTTCTCTTACAAGGACACTTGTGGTGTTAAGGCCCACAAGTGGGCCTAAGGATCTTGTCTTGAGATCCTTAATTACATCTGTAAAGACTGTTTTTCTAAATAAGTTGCAACCACAGTTGCATCCAGTCCTTAGGACAATTCAACACACCAGGCTGGGAGGAGTGACGGTCCTTGCCCAAGGTCATAGGGCTAGTATGTGGCATGGCTAGAACTTGAGCCTATCTCTGTCTAACTCGAGACCTGCATCCTTGACCACTTCTTGGGGTGCTCGTTCTTCCTATAAGGCTCAGTCCCAACACCTTGCTTTCCTGTTTGTATTACTGCCCACCTGAGAGCCTCCAGCTGTTGACGTGAGAACAGCGCAGACGCCCTGTAATTAAAGCCCTTCTTCTCCAATTGAGGCTCCCATTATCTCCTTGTGTTGATCTGGCAAGCTCCCCAAGAGAACAGTGTCCTCTACATGAAAGAGTTATGTAAGGATAATAAAGCAGCAGCTACGGAAATGATGGGGTCTGAGCTGTGAAGCTTCATTTTCACAGCAGTTTTTCCATGGGCCATTCACGTTTTGTAAAAAATGGCCACCTTGTCTTGGATGAATGACTCCTGATACAGCTGACCTGGGAGATTCTGAAGGTCCTTTGCTTCTCTCTCAGCAGCATATTCCCTTAGGAATTAACTCTATTGGGTTGGGCATGGTGGCTCACACCTATAATTCCAGGACTTTGGGAAGCTGAGGCAGGCGGATCACAAGGTCAGGAGTTCAAGACCAGCCTGGCCAACATAGCAAAACCCCATCTCTACTAAAAAACACAAAAATTAGCCAGGCATGGTGGTGCATGCCTGTAGTCCCAGCTACTCAGGAGGCTGAGGCAGGAGAATTG